AAAAGGGGAGGGAGGAGTGGACCAAGATGCCTGCTCAAAGAGAATGAGTTCCATGCTATATGGCTCACTCAACAAAGGCATAAGGAGTGATGGATTACTCCTAAACATGGGTGGTGTCAAAGCACAACATCCACCAGGAGTCTCGTCAAGGGGCCTAATATAGCCAGGTGCCCATCCCATAGGGTTTTAAACCCCATTTTAAAATCAGCTGGCAACCGATCCCATGTCAAGGCACTTTTTTTTATAGGGGGCCTCCATCATATTCCCTGTACAAAGTGATAATAACAGTACCACAGCCACACCTCTGGCTTTCAACAACCAATTTGGGCAGGAGCCAGAACCACTGGGCAAAGTCCAGAGTCCATCACTTCAAGGAAGTCCTGTACTGTGCTGATGTCAGCGTGCACAATGAAATCCCCATGGGCAAGAATCCCGAGGGCTTCAAGAGCAGGGCTGATACTGGAGAAGTCAGCCATGAGGTCTTCCAGATGAGCCGATGGTATTTACACCAGCATTACCATCCATTTTTGTCCTCCCCCAGAAATACAGAAGACATCCAGGTGCTTGAGTACGCTCTTCTCCAGCGGGGACCATCTTGTGCATTGCATACAGAGGAAAAACATGCCAAAGTTACTTCCTTTCCTTTTTATTTCTCTCTCAGATTGGTGGGATCATAGAATATCCAGCCACAATGAAATGAACCAGCAGTATCCTCCAACCCTAGAGTGCTCCATAGCTTCTGTCAAAGCTTAAGATACATGCTGCCAATTAAGAGCCCACTTCTGCAAACACCTTTGGGAGATTCTTCATTCCCATTTATCGTGACATTGGTTCTGTTTTTGCTTCTTTTATTTTGTTTTTAAATGCAGCGATAAGGGTGGATTTTTTCAAAAGCATCTAAACGATTTAGGAGCAGAAATCCCATCAAGACTCAGTGTGACTTTTGCCTCTTTTAGCAGTACCACTCTAAATTCTTAACATAGGCCATTTCACAATAAAAAAGATTCAGTCCTCTTTTATTTTGGAAGCAGTTTTCAAGCATGGGGAAGGAAAAGCAAACAGCAAGGCCTATAATATTTATACAGATGAAGAAAGTGCTTCTATGTTTTTTTTCTCTTATAAAGTAATGAGAATGCAGAAATTTTCATTCTGAAGCCAAAAAATGCTTTATGCTTTTTTTAAAAAATTCTGCTTTTTAAGCAACAGTTTACAAGACCAAATCCCAAGTGGTTTGTGATTCCCAGGTGTAGCAGAGAATGTTTGTATCGTTGAGATGGCAGACGCTTTTCAAAGCTGCAAGAGGTTTGGGGGCTGCGAGTGTAGTCTCCACGTGCTACAGGACGACGCTTGTATGTTGCTCTGGTGAAGGAGGGAGCCGTTCGTTCGTTAAATCCTCCAGCAGGAGCCTGGTGGGAAGCAATGCTGTTTGACACATTCCTCTTTTCTGCATGAGTGAAAGACAGAAACCCATAAAATTACTTTATCAGCTTTGCACTTTATGATGTGTTGGACACGCCCACTCCCACCCTCTGTGCTATCAGACCTGTGGAGCATACAAATCAAGAGGTGTCTGAAATCACAGCAAAATGAGGTAGTCAGTGTGTGGGAAATGGTTTGCCTGTTGCCCAAGAAACACGATTTGCTTCCAGTAGAGCCGCTCCTCACCCTTTTTGTCCGTGGCCGTGATGAAGCTGTTGTTGCACCTTTGTTTTTCGGGAGATCTTGAGTGTGTCTCTAATGGATGTTGTCATTAACATGTGCATCACATATGCCTTATACTGCAGGGTAACACCTAACCGTGTGTGTCCCGTGTTTTCTGATTTGCAGGGCAACTCGAGCCATACAAAAATGTGCCCATTAGACTAGAGGTGGGATGGGTCCCATCTGATAGTTTGTTGACTGTACTCCAGAGGTGGGATTTTCCTAAGCGGTCAGTGTTGGCCTAACTCTGCTCCCTTTGAAGTGATTGGTTAAACTCACAGAAATCCAGGTACATCCCTACTCCAAACATGTCTCTGACATAGTGAGAGCCTGGCTACTCTAAGATTTCATCCTTTCCTTGACATGGCAGTACTTGTACGTGATGTAATTCACATCGTAAACTCTCATCAGAAAGGTTCTGGGTCCAGGTATAATTGATTATTCTGAAAAGCAAAGTACCTCATCAGCTCTCCACTAAAAGAATTTCTCATGTTCTGCATGTAGAGAAGAGTGAGGATGGATTTGATAGCAGCCTTCAACTACCTGAAGGGGGGTTCCAAAGAGGATGGAGCTCGGCTGTTCTCCGTGGTGGCAGATGACAGAACAAGGAGCAATGGTCTCAAGTTGCAGTGTGGGAGGTCTAGGTTGGAGATTAGGAAAAACTATTTCACTAGGAGGGTGGTGAAGCACTGGAATGGGTTACCTAGGGAGGTGGTGGAAACTCCTTCCTTAGAGGTTTTTAAGGCCTGGCTTGGCTGGGATTATTTAGTTGGTGTTGTTCCTGCTTTGAGAAGGGGTTGGACTAGGTGACCTCCTGAGGTCTCTTCCAACCCTGATATTCTATGATTCTGTGATTCTTCTATGTAATTTGGTCAGCTGAGCTAGAATCAGCATGTCTATATTACTATCATTATGTACTTACTATATGAAATACATTGACATATCCAGGCGCATTCGATATTTATTTCACGATCCTACATGGCCTGACTCATACTTATGGGGCATTAATTAGGTAGCATCCCTGTGTGGAAATTTGCCTTAAAAACATGAAAAGCACATAGCTCTCCCCCTCCTTATCTTTACTTGGCTGTCCTACATTGTCCTCGTGGTTTAAGGTTTATGAAGGACCCCAGTGTAGATCTAGAGATCTGATCCTTTGCATCCCTGCATTGTTGATCCTCCTCTACAGTCCTGTGGACTGGTCTCATAACACTCGCAATAAAGTTGGTTGAAGTGCTTGCCACATTTCCTTTATCCATCCAGTTGCTTATGGTTGTTCAAATGCAGATGAAAATATGTGTCTTCCTGCCAAGTGTATCAGTCAAGGCTGTTGTGCTATCTATCATTATCAGGTCCACGCAAGCAACAGCTTCCCGCAGCTCCCATTGGCCAGGAACGGCGAACCGGGAATGGCGAACCGCGGCCACTGGAGCCACTGGGAGCTGTGAGGGGCCATGCCTACAGACAGTCAACGTAAACAAAATGTCTCACGGCCCACCAGCGGATTACCCTGGTGGGCCACGTGCCAAAGGTTGCCGACCCCTGATTTAGATTATGCCCAGGATTACCAGGCGTCAGAAATTCTCTCTTGCCCCCATTCCTTCTCAGTCAGCAACAACCACTAGCACTGTCTTTTCTGCCTTGGAGAAGCTCATACCTCCACTACGTGCAGTATCTGTCACTCGGTTCCAAACCAGACCTGCGAGGTGCCAGAACTCCAGGTTAAGAAGCACCTCATGGAGAAAGCAATGAGGCCCCTGTTGGACTCAGGCTGGGGAGACCCCCCCTCCCCGCCCAAGACCTCAGCCAGAGTCGTCAAGGAGCGTGCCTCCTGGCATGAGGTCTGAAGCCGCAAAGTCAGGGCTCCTTCGTCAGGGTTCCACCATGAGAGTAAGGATTAGGGAGAACACACAATCTCCTAGTGTTTGCTTATGGGGTGAAATGGTAAAGATTTTTAGTGGTCACTGCTTTAGGCATGTATGTAAAATCGTGACTATCACTACAATCCAAATGCCTTTTCAACTGAAGCATTGGGTTAAATACTTAAATATTTTTGGGATCATTAAGTGCAAAAAAAGTCAAAACTGAATACCGTGGGAGCATTGGCAAAATGTCACATCTGTGCATGCATATAGCAGTTTGCATTTACAGATCAGTGAACCTAAATTCTGGATACATTTATTGTGACCCTAAATTCTTGATAACATAAATGTGGGTTTCTGGTGTTCAGTTAATGGGACCTGCTGAAAATGTGGACCTGTGCGCTAGCATCCTGAGCCATTCAGTTCAAATAGTGAAAATGTAATAGATGCTGAGTCTTCAGTACTGAATGTTGGTGTCCTCGGCGCGGTCCTGATACAATGCCCATTGGCTGCCGTGAGCAATAGATCAGGACCTCAAGCATAATCTTGGAGGAACTTGTGGTTAAGGCAGCGTTTCCCAAACTTGGGACGCCGCTTGTGTAGGGAAAGCCCCTGGTGGGCTGGGCTGGTTTGTTTACCTGCTATGTCCGCAGGTCCGGCCGATCGCAGCTCCCACTGGCCGCGTTCGCCGCTCCAGGCCAATGGGAGCTGCTGGAAGCGGTGCGGGCCGAGGGACATACTGGCCACCACTTCCAGCAGCTCCCATTGGCCTGGAGCAACGAACCGCAGCCAGTGGGAGCCGCGATCGGCCGGACCTGCGGACGCGGCAGGTAAACAAACTGGCCTGGCCCGCCAGGGGCTTTCCCTACACAAGCGGCGTCCCAAGTTTGGGAAACGCTGGGTTAAGGCATAAAACTGGAACTCAGGATACCTGGATTCTGTTCCTAGCTCTGCCTTAAGCTTCCAGTGTGAATCTGGGCAAGTCACACAACCTCTCAATGCCTTTCTTTTCCCATTTCCAAAATGGGACTCCTGGAATATACTTGTTTCACAAGGGTATTACGAAGGTTAATTAATATTTGTAAAGTTATTTGAGAACCTCACATGGAAGCTGCTATAAAATACAGAGTATCCTTGTAATCTGTTAATATTTAAACACGTTAGTGCAAATACACCAATGTGCTTTGGATAGCGAGGGTTTTATGATGCTGCTTACAACAGTGAAGCTTTTTATAACATGGTTTGTGCATTTGCTATTGAACGAGTGTGTTTTGCTGACTAACCAATCCAATGCCGGACTGACTGAATGCTCTCCTGACTCACAACATTCTTTTCCTGTTCAGTTTTTCAATCAAATGTTATCCGGGGCTCAGCCCAGTTTAGAGACATTTTAGCCTTGCAAATGAAATAACGAGGGCCTCTGGTTGTTGTCATTAGAAAATCGGCTGCGATGGGATCATTGGCTCAGCTGCCAAAGAGGATCGTTGTGGAATCTGCAATGGAGATGGCAAAACCTGTAAAGTGGTGAAAGGAGACTTCAACCACACCAAGGGGATGGGTGAGTCGCATTCTGCAAAAGCGCTCTGCCTTCGTCTGAACTGCTTAGCATCTAGGAGTTAGAGAGCTAGCGACAACTCTTGTCCTTTGTGTGACTCGCCTACTTTTAATGTGGCGCCTGATCAAACAGCCATTGTACATTTAAAAAAAGATTTGAAATGAATATTTTTAGAGGTTGATACACAGGGAGCGTTATGGCTGTCCATGAGATTCGGCTCTCGCTGACACTGATGTAAGTTAGGGGTGAGAGTAGCTACAGTGTTCACAGTGGAATTACTCTAATTGACGCTAGTATTTCTGACCCAGTTTGTTGCCCAGAAGAAATCTGCGAAAATGTTTGAGACTGAATCAGTGAATAGCTGTACAAGAATAAGATGGTCAATTCTTTAGTTATTAACGATGCCTAATCTTATCGCTCAGTTTTTTCAGAATAAGTGTTTAAGCTATAAGAGTTCCTACAAGGGTCCAATCCTGAGAGGTGATGAGTCCCTCTTGAGAAGGGGAGTTGAAGATGCTCAGGGCTTCACAGGGTCAGGCCCGTTGGCGCTGTATAACACCTTTTGCCGTTCAGTTTCCTTAACCACGTTCCAGTTTTATTAAAGAACTGGTTCAACGGTGGAATTCCATCTGCAGCCTCTTCCTGTTTGCCAAGATTGGCCATTGCCTCCTTACTGAGCTCAAAGAAGTCACGCTGTGCAGTTCCTGTTGAATGTTACAGGTACTTTTGATGTAAAATCAGAGAGAAAAAATCATGATAATCATAATGTCTCCTCCTGTGGGAGGGACAGCTGATTTGGGCATTTAGACTGAGAGCTCCTGTGTACGTCCCGGATGATTCATGTAATGCTAAGGATATCTCCGCTTCAGCTAAACCAGGGGACCCTACTCTCGGAGTATTTATACTGACTTCACACCAGCAACAGAGAAGCATCGGAATAAGACTGTTTTCGGTCAAGCTCAAGCTGTCCCCTCTGGTTTTGCACGCCCATTGTGTGTGAATTAGCCGTTCTTCCTTAGTCACTGTTCCACACTTAGGAGAGACCTGTGGCCGTTCATCCTGGTCAAGCAAAGTGCGGGGGAAATTTAGACTTAGGACCCACTGCAGGAGGGAGGAAGTATTTAGGCAAAACGACCGATATTTAAATGAATGTTGCCATCTCCGCATGTAGAGAAGCAAAAGCAAAGCACATTCAACATGTGCTGTTTTGGGACTCAGTTGAGCAAAGCAGTTAAAGATGTCCTTGGAGCACATGATTGAGTTCCATTGAATTCATTATTAAAGTTAAGTGTGTGCTCTACTGCGTTGCTAAATCAGGGCTTCAAAGCTGGTCTCTGATTCTCTTTTCTAATTTCTACTACCTCCTTCCCCTACTTTATCTGTGAAGGCAGCTAAGATCTACCACCACCTCTGAGGTGCAGGTGGAATTGGCAAACTTCAGTAATACTTTCTGGAGTTCATTTGTGCACTTCCATTGTCAGGCCGATCTGTCATATGATTTCCGGCTTGCAGTTTTTACTGCTCTGACTGTTGTGTTCCGTTTAGCTTCTAGCTGTTGGTAGTGAGAAGTTTGTATCTTGGCTGTGCAAGACTAAGGAAAAGATTTGCCTTGGTTAACTTTATTGGCATGCACTTGTGCTTTGAGAATAGGGCTCTGAGAGCATGTCACAAAATATTGCACGCAACTTCTGCAGTTAAAAAGGAACAGCATTGGTGGTATAATTGTGCCATACCTCCTATGTCTGTGTTGGAAATGTATGTTACATTGCTAAGGGATGTCTTCACTACCCACCGGATCGGCGGGCAGCGATTGATCCGGCGGGGATCGATTTATTGTGTCTAGTCTAGACTAGATTCCCCCTCCCATCCCCCCCCAGTGTAGACCAGAGCTAAATCTATAGCTGATGCCAGTGGTGAAACCACTGCTCCATCTTCTACAGCAGTTCCCGATCTGAAAATCAACAAATGCCTCGTTTACAGTTTAACTGCTTCTCTAATGTCTCCTGCAGGAAATGGGAATTGCGCTCTGGTCGTTTTTAGTTGGGAAAAACATTCTCCATTTCTGTAGTAGCAGTGCTAGCTGGAAATAAGTGTATCTCGTAGATGTTTTTGAAGGGAAACCTATCTTTGTTATTTACGGATCAAAATCACCATGAAACATCATGCAACAAAAAGACTTGACCCAGATAGATGACAACCTTCTGGGTCCCTGCCAGAATTTAAAAGTGGTATACGCCTGTTTTCAGTTAGGTGGGCTGCTCTCAATACATTCAGTGACTTTTCCCCATGGCAGATCTGTAGGGACTGGACCTTCTCTGCTGATTGTCAGCCAGATGAGTACAGCAGGGGTTCCCCCATCTCTAGAGACAGGGCAGATGCGACCGTACCCAGACGGTATGTTGAGCGTTAATATTATAATGTACAAGCCTTTATTGCACCCTCATTCTTTACTGAATATCTGGAGCCAGATGAGAGAGAGACACGTCGATCCTATCTAAAATGTTGCTTCACCTTCAAAATACTTCATTTGCCCATCTTGCATAGTTGTATAAAGGCTGGAAAAATCCTTATTTATACTATGTCCTGACACAAAGACTAGCTGCAGTTTTTTTTCTGCAAAATAGTAGATTAAAACACTGTGTGAAAAATAACCCGAAATAGTTTTGCTATTTATTCTCTCTCTGCTTTTACACTTCTCTCAGCATAGACAGTGAAATTAGACATGTTGGTTTCACTTATGGGTCCAGACCCCGATTCCGCTTACATGTTATGCCCTGGGAGTTAATCTGTGGTGTTCAATGGGACTTTTCATGTGCAGAAGTGTTTTGCGGGACCAGGACCTTAGTCAGTTTCACGTTCTGTGTCTCATGCACTGGCACAAAGTGTTCAGGTTGCAAACACCACAAGGAAACATGTATTTGTTTAAGAAAATATCTATGGATTTTCTTAAAAAATCAGCGTTTTAATGATGTTTAAAATCCAAGATTTTACAAAGCCTAAATTTGAAGCCTAATGTGACTAAGCAGCATGAGTCCCGATAGCAGAATCAGGGCCTGGATAGTGAAATCATTCCCGAAGAGAGGGGCAGATCTCCCATTGACTTGCTTTGATTAGGGTCAAGCCCAAAGCCCCTGTGTTAAGTGTGTCGATTTATGATTTCAGAAGAGAATAGCTGTGAAATGTCAAGACGTTGGTTGTTAAGAAGTATCAGTTTGAGAATTGCACCTACAACGTTTGGGCCAGATCCTGCAGCTGCTGTGCACGTGGGACTCCACTGACTGCAGGATCGGTCCCTGTATGTCCTGTGATTGCAGACATGCTGTCGAGCTCTATTAACTGGACTAAACCCATGCCAACTCCTTTCTGTTTCTCAGTAACCAATAGTCATTGTAAGAAGGTTTCCACGTGTGTGATGGCAAAGGCAAAGGCTGTTCCCAAGTGTTTCTCGTGTAAGATGCCTGAATGCTGTGTGTGGTGTCATTGGGTAGCTGTTGTTGGGTGTTGGTTTTCTGTCCTCCTCCTCCTGGTTGGATTGGGTGGGGAGACTGCATCGTATAAAAAGCCATGGATACCCTTTAAAGCCTTCTACTTTCAGCATGACTAGCCTGAATTGGAGAGACAGCACGTGGGTCCTTGGCCTTTGAAAGGAGCTGCCTAGCCACCAGAAGACCATGTTTGTCAGCCCATTATCAAGTCCTGCCCCTGTTTCTTCTCTTCCAGCCCATCTCTGTAGTGCCACCAAGTTTTCAGAGGTTCTGCACACTGGGTACCTGTCTCAGTACTATGCCTGTTGGTCCTTCTGTTTTCTGGGAACTAAATCCCCCCCCCAAAAAAAACCCCCACAAACTTTGTTTTAAAATTCATCTCTGACCTTCTGACATCATCCCCAAATTGTGTTCAGAATCATGTTCTGCACTTACGCCAGATCCTCAGTAATGTAGACTGGGAGCCAATGGAGCTATACTGATTTACACCGGCTAGTGGTCTGGCCCTTCCCTTCCTCCTTGTAAGATTCCCATCCAGACTCCAATGCCGTACAGATAACGCTTAGAGACCTGCCACATAAGTCATTTTTTCATGTGTGCATCTATATTGCTCTTCCCTGGCCATGGGAAGATTTGAACGCATGCCCTCTGTCTTGTGACCCAAAAGAGAAGCTGCAGTTGTTTGGCTTACGTTTTAAGTCCGTACTCCAGATGGCAGTAAATAATTAAATGAACTAGGCAAATTGCTATAACAATAACTTTTCTTCATGAGCAGTTTCTGTTTTTAATATGGTGAAGAAATCAAACGCTTTATGCAGAATTGTAACCTTGACAGTAGTGCATTTAAAATAAAAAGGAAATTGAGAGATGGTGCTTTAAGCCTGGGAATGTTCTTCTCTCAGCACATGCAAGAAAATTCTGTTAATAGGATAAATGGGCAGGTGATGAAAGGCAGACAGAAACGCAGGGCAGTGGGTGACTTACCAGTCGGCTGTCCTTTATAGGAATCATTACCACCAAATTGACACTCAATAGCAATATCAGGAGGCTTTGAAATCTGTCCATGGCTTCACGATGAAATGATTTTCCTCCAGGCTAGCTACCCCATGGCTGGAAGTAAACAGTGGTGGGTAGGTACCTGCAATTGGTAATCACCAGGATTCTCATGCACGCAAGAAGATAAACTAGTCAATTGTCTTTTATTTTCTGATCAGCAACAAGAATTACATTCCATACAAAATCTAGCTAGAGGGACAGTGGAATACAGAGAGGATCAGTAATGAGGGTGCGGAGGTTGTCACCTGTAGGCCAACAGATGGAATTCAGCCCCGACCGATAGTGAGAGCAAGTCATGAGCATCTTCTGACTGCTCAAAAAACGAGCTCTTAAGTCTCAGTGCAGCGTCTAATGGATACGTTTCCAAAGCACCCCCAGAGTAGGTACTGATTGGCACTCTTGGCAATGGGAGCAAGGACTGAAAGAGCTATGGAGACTGCCCTTGCCACCCCAGGACAGTGGGGATGTCTGTGCGGTACATGTTCAGCAGATAACTAGAGGAGTCCAGTCTTTACAGCTCTCAGCTTGGGACCTTGCAGCAGAACGTAATCCAAAAGTTGGGATCGTGCAGGAGTGTGGGTTTTGTTCTACCCATACTGTGATACACCCCTAGTAGGAAGATACAAAGGTACATTGCATAGAGATCAGCACTTGCAGCCATGGGGTAACATCTCCTCTACCCGAGAGTTCGTCTTCCAGTAACATCCAAACCAGTTTTGTAGTAATTCAGTTCCACGTTGAAATTCATGCTAACCTCTCTCCTCTCTGGGACTAATAACCCTGCCTAACAGTGGGTTCTCCTGTTTGAGCCTGCTTTCCTCTTGCAAATCTCTCCAGTGTTTAAGTGAAGCTACAGTAGCCACCATACATGTATTAATCTGCTTGATGACAAAGCCACCTCTTCGTTCTGGTATCTCTCCTAATACAAGTTCACCATAGAACATGTATCTAGGACTCACCTCAATCACAGCCTTACGTTCCTGGGACACTGATGTAACGCAGATTATCCAGAAAGATTGTTGAATGCCAAAATAGCTGTTCCCAAGGGGGAGTACAGGACATACAGCTCTAGAAATGACGAAATAATGAAATTCCCCAGTTATACTTTCCAACCTTTATCTTAAAAGTCTGACTTTTTGGATGAAATAACTAGAACCACTGCCTGATTGTTGCCAGATCTCATCAGTCTTTAAGCAGCTCCTCACCTAAACAGAATTTTAACTCAACCGTGCAGACCCCAGCATTGCAAACAGTTACCCCCAAGTTACCTAACAGATCTTTGACGGGCTTTTGACTCTGGACCAACATTGGCTTAATATCTAATGCTTGATAATCTTTCTGGGAATCTGCGGTTTACAATTTGTGATAGAAAACATGCCTCGAAAACTATGGGGCAACATTCTCCAATATTGGGATTATAATCCCTTCAGCAACAGCATGTCACTAGCTCTAAAGCCCGGCTGGGAGCAATCTGAGTTTATATTTATGGTGAGTTTGCATGTAGGGTGTATTTAATGCATTTGCAGTAGGATTTTGACCACTGATTTACACCGTATGCTGGCTAAGAGCTACAGATGCTTTCTATGGGACATGCCCAAGGAACCTACTCTGTCCCCTGAAAGAACATTTCAAAACTACACAAGCCTAGACCGGCACTACTTGGTTCCCTAAAGAAAACAAAATGTTAATAGTTGGTTCTGTGTCACCCAATCTCAGAGAGCAAGTACAGTAAGGTGTGTTTTTGTTGTTTTTATTCAGGAGCTGTGAATACAACCCCTGGTGCCATCAGTCAGGATTAGAAATTACATGAGGAGAAAAATCTGGTATCTGACCAAACTAAATAGTCTCCAGAACTAATACCCTGTTAATATCTTAAACTCCACTATTTAACATTTCAAAAGTAATGTACAAGGCAGCGTTTACACACGGTATTTTCTCGCACCGCAGTGGTGAAATGAGAGCATATTTGTGGCACTAACAGAACCTCAAGAGTAACGCCATGCCTCTCACACTGCAAAAACAGCAGGACGCAGGCCAGGCTACCGCTGCCTCAGGGGTCCGCTCTGAAGCCCAGTGAAATCAGTGAGAGCCTTTCCATTAACGTCAGTGGTTTTTTGGATCTGGTCATGGCAGAAGGTAGTTCTGAGCCTTTGATTTAAAAAATAATTATCATCCTCCACAGTAAATACATCAACAAATACGTGATACTTGGGCATGTTCCAAAGTGGCTTCCTAACATGGTGGCCAGGTGTGTTTCTAGGGTCCATTTACAGTGACATATTGTCATTAATCACTCTGCTGTATGTTCGTGTCTGATCGTAATGGTTGGGTTTGAATGCAGATGCATGGGGTGCAACAAGGGATGTTTGGCATTTTAGAATGTGCTGCTCTTAATGTAATTTATCTCAACCAACAAAAAACCAACTCCCAGTAGGATCCAGGCTAATGTCCAACATCTGTTTTCTTTGATTTTTATAGATTTCACAATTGCCATAAAAGCCAAACCCTGAAGTAGTGAGTATTACTGATGGAGCATGCTTTGTAATTAGCAGAATGGGGAATTCATCAGCCTGACATGAGGGGAGGTTCTTTGTTCAGAATCCTGTTTTCCCTTTATTTTGATTCTCCCTGCAAAGGATGATTGACTGGCTTTTGAAAGTAACCTGAGCAGGGGAGAAGAAAACAAGAGAGATGATGCTCCTGGGTGGGGGGCAAAAGGAAAACGACCTGAGCTGAGGGGAGCGAGGAGAGGTGGTAAAATGGCAATACAAATTAGTGTAATGTACCAGAACAATAGGGGCTACCTTAAAAAGATGAGAGGCTAAGGAGAGAGATGGTTGTCATTGGCCAAATCATCTCCCAACCCAACACCAACACCCCAGTGGGAATGCTTAGTACAGGTGATCTAAAAAGGGTTGGGAGTGGGAAGGAATCCATGTGTCCCATTAATCTGGTGGCTATGCAGCTGCGTCATTGACACGACTGTGGTAGGCTAAGACCATGGGCTGAGGCCCCTGTGTGAACCCATAAGTGAAAGGCTTTCAGGCAGGCGTTAGGTGTGTGGGATCTATATAATGATGGATTCACTAGCCACATCCCAGGGTACAGCCTCCACAGTCCATGCAGCCACACAGAGAGAGGCCCTTTGTTCTGCAGTGTGTCACTCTCTCTTCCTTGCTCTCAGTCCAGTACAAAGCAGAACCACGGCAGTTCAGCCGCATTTACCCTTAAAAAACCAAAGTACTGCTGAATTCTAAAGGAATAGTCCCAAACACTACTCTTACACTAGTGATTCTCCAGCTTTGGCCTATTTTTATAGGGGCAGGTCTGGTATAGGGCCATATCACTTAGCACATATAACAAAAAAGGGAAGGTAAAGCATGCAGAATAAACTATTAGTGTTTTAAAAGAAAAGGTGGGAAGGGGGAGGAGCCACGTTACACACTGAAAAATAAACCGTCTGGCCAATTAAAAAGAATCAAATCCTAGTCACGATGGTTTCCAAGATAGTCTCATTGCTTCATATTTGACACAGGTATTAGTAGGTAGTTTGCTTTTTGCCTATCACTTAGACCAGGGGTCGGCAACGTTCGGCTCGCCAGCGTAAGCACCCTGGTGGGCCGGGCCAGTTTTATTTACCTGCTGACGCGGCAGGTTCGGCCGATCGCGGCCCCCACTGGCCGCGGTTCGCCGTCCCGGGCCAATGGGGGTGGCGAGAAGTGGCGTGGGCGAGCGATGTGCTGGCCGCGGCTTCCCGCCGCC